TGCGAACCGACGAAGCGAACGTCATTGCGACACCACCTTGCGTGCACCTATGACATGCGTTTGTTGCTGTCGAACTACAGGACGACGAATATGTGTGTACTGCTGTGTCTATTTGAGCGACCTACAATGCGGTACATACGAAGGTGTAGAGAAGGGTGTTCTACTGCTGTAGAGTTCATGATGCTCCTCAACAGGTCTCGCTCCTCTCTGATTCGTTACACACGGGCTACTCTGTCAGCACATGCGGTCGAACGTGATAGGATAGGATGGATTGTAACTGCCGTCTCAAGTGCTGTCAGCTGTCCCATTGGCCGTTGCCATAGTCTATGCATCAATTCCGTTTTTCTTTGTCGGAAATGGCGGAATAATGTTTTTCAAACTTTCCACGGGATTCGAAAACACCCGCGTCAACTAACTATGGGCCGACGCAGGGGAGACGGCCACGAATGCCATCCACGCCGACAGAGAACTTGTGCCGCCGTTGACAACGACCCATTATCTCTTTGACTCGCATACAGCTTCATGTAGTTCCCTCCTGACAACGTGTTCAACCCCTGCCTTCCGTCCGCCTTGCACACGAGATATGTTGATCGGACGTCGACCTTTCCACAACACTCTTTTCCCTTTCCCCCCCCCCCCAGAAGTACCGATCTACGTACCGGACGTGGGGCCCTCACATCGTCAAACCCAACTTTGTTTCATCTTCTTTCGTAACGATATCGTCGTCACGTCTGCTTCCTCTGCGTATCGAACTCCCGCATCCATCCCACGCATTCTGGCCGCCCGCCGCCCGCCCCATTGAGGGGGGGGGGTGTACTCATAGTCGTGCATGCCGTAGTCGTTTGACCATTGACCTCGCATCCCTACAAAGCCGGGACGGAGCACACCGGGTTCTCACCGGACCAGGCTCTCACATCACCAAGCGCGAAGCGCCGTGAGGTATTTGGCGAGTCGCATGAAGGGTGAGCTGCATCCTGCTAAGGGTGTTCGGCATCTTGTGCTTACTTCCTTGCGTACGGATGACAGCTACGTATGACTTAATTTATTTTCTGGTGCTTTCACTTCCAGAGACAGTTGTAAGCACTGTGTAACTGCCTCGAGGAAGCTTGACCATTTTAACACAACGTAGTGTGATCATCCCCCGTTGCGCGGAGTGAGGTTTCTCGACCCCGCACAACATGATCTGCTCGACCACCATTATGGTTACCGCCAAAAAAAAAAACGAGGTAAAAAAAAAACACGGTAACCTGGTTGCCGAGTTCACGAAGTGAATTGGCTTGTTTTACAACGTCGTTGCCAAGCGACGAAAACCCAAATCCCGATGGCAAACACCGAGTGGGGGGCTTGTTTTACAACGTCGTTGCCAAGCGACGAAAACCCAAACCCCGATGGCAAACACCGGGGGGGGCGGCTTGTTTTACAACGTCGTTGCCAAGCGACGAAAACCCAATCCCGATGGCAAACCCCCGGGGGGGGGGGGGGGGCAATCTGTTTTTCCTTCAGTAATACAGAATGCGCCCGCACTGGAAAAACCTCTAGTTACGGCCAAGGCTGGGGTTCTTTGTTCCGAGTCATGCTACGAATACTTCCTGTCGGTGTAGGGGTTCTTAACCGAGCTCACAATTGGTGCTCAATCAAGTTCTTAATTTTAATTTTTGTTTGTCTTCAAACCCTTAACTCCTTGGTTCTTAAGGGGTGAAGAAAAGGGGTTTTGACGCTGGCTCTTTCCCCATACTTTAATCCTATACAAAGAACGAAAAACACCTTCGGGCTAGGGCTAGCTTTAGATTTCTCCAGTCATCAGAAGAAGACACCATGAAGAGGCGTCGTGCGTGCTGGCACGTTCAGGTTGTGCTACAGGAGCTGAAATATCGAAGGTCGCAGCAGCCTCTGAAACCAGTCCGAAATTTACGCCGGAACCAAGCGGCATCCAACATTTGTCACAGCCGTGCTCGCCACCACTGACCCCAATCTCCTGAACTGCGGGCTTACAGCAGTAGCTGTGACAAATATTGGATGCCGCTTGGTTCCGGCGCAGATTTCGGGCTGGTTTCAGAGGCTGCTGCGACCTTCGATATTTCAGCTCCAGTAGCAAACCTCAACGTGCCAGCACGTACGGCGCCTCTTCATAGTGTCCTCTACTGATGACAATACAAAACTTGTTTGAGCGCCTTCCGTTTGGGCTCTATTGACTTGAATTTAAAATGCTTATTTCTACCTTGATTTCAAAGCAGGCGTGTGGAGGTGCAGTAGATGTGTGAAATGTATGTTTTGAGCAGCCTCGACTGCCGCCCTGCGCGAGAATCGTCGGTTGCTGTTGTTCGCAATGCCGTCCGACTGGTCTGTTGTACCTGTTGTGAAGTTTCTGGTGCTCTTGCGTTTGTAATTAGTCACCATCCAAATTCTTCTTGTTCACCCCCGTAAGTGCGGGCGCGTTCTATATGTGAAATGTGTACGTAGGTTGGTTTTCAAATTGTAAGGGCAGACTTTCTTTCCGAAACGGTGTTCGCGCAAGTTGGCGCCACCATGCAACGAGAGGTCATGTTTCCCTGGCCACCCTCGGCCAGACGGGCGACAAGTTGGCTAGATGCTGCTGCAGAAGGTTTCATCGGGGTATTACAGACAGATATGATCATCGTCTGCCCTTTACCAGAAAATAGAGTACCGTAATAGTCGGAGAGATGGCACCGGTCGGGGAGATGGCACCGGGGTGCGCAAAGAAATACAAGAACGGCATGATTTTATTCGATTCACGCACCGGGGTCGGTGAGATCGCACGCGGTGCGATTTCACCACCCCCCAAATCCAAGATTGAACTCCTTTCAGTTGCCGGAATGAGGTACATTTGCGTACCTTTTGCAAGTGGGGACGGCGTCAGCGGAGCGCCACTCCTGTCCTGTATGTACGTATGCATGGTCGCGGTTCACGTGGGATGGCAGTTGTCAACCGCACACTCAGCCAAACAACAACGTACAAGCCGCACCCTACCCCACCTTACACAACACGAAACTATTCGGTATCCGTAGAGGAAGACCGAAACGAAAGAGGAAGACAGCCTGATACCGTACGTACCGGTCCCTCAGAAGGACGTATCATTCGTTGTCCTTGTCACGCCATAGCCGAACTCACCTCCAAACACAAGACCCGAGGAAAAAATATGTAAAAAAACGATCGCACCCGGTGCCATCTCTCCGACTATTACAGTACCCTCGATTTGGTTTTTTCCCCGATGAAACACACATGTTGAAGAACTACGCGCAACTGCCACGATAAACCCCAACAACATCATGGCATCGAGCATAGTACACGTCGGCCGTACTTGAAGCCCTACCGCAAGCCAATTAGGGGTAGCGCAGCTTTCGTAGCACGCACGTTTCCACACCACCCTTGCCACAGTAGTAAGCCACACCAACGGATTTTTTTCCCGTGTCAAGCACGCGCGTTCAATCACGCGCAACCGCCAGATAGGCCGACACGTCGCAAATGATTTGACAGCATCGGGCATAGACACCCAGTACACTTAGGCCGTGCTTGCAGGCCTACTGCAAGCCAATTAGTGGTGGCACGGGTGTGGTAGCACGCACGTATGTACAACACGCTTGATGCAGCAGTAGCCCGCACAAATGAACTTCCCTGTGACACACACACCACGTTCCATCATGCGCAACTGCCATGATAAACACGGACACCCGTCGCAAATGATTGACAGCATTGAGCATCGACGCTCAGTGCACGTCATCCGTACCTGCAGACCTGCCCCAACCAATAGTAGTCATCTTTCGTACCACGGAAGTATCTATACCACTTGATACAGCAGTACGCGCAGCAGCGGTTATTCCTTTACGCGTACGGTGACTACCTCTCCCCATGAGACGAGACATAGAACCCTAGTGCTATAGTGCGTCCAATTATCCATCACGACAAACAAGCACCCCTGTATGGTTCGACAGTTGGGCACGGGTACACTACAGGACAACCTGGTCTTCCTAAAAAAACAATGACGAACCAAGTTCCTCGTTAAGGAATAGTACATCGCGCGCAACGATTTTCCTGTACCCACGATTCCCATCATACGTCAACCCCTGTCCTTACCCTCTTACGGGTATTGCCTTTCTCCTCGACCTCCCTCGCCTTATGACCCCATCGTCCACTGGGGGTGGGGGGGGCGATGCTTCACGCTACATCACATAGGAGGAACCAGCCTCAATGAGGATGCTACCGCGAATAACCCGGGGATCTCCGATACATGTCCCCGCCTCAGTGAAGACGCAGCAGCTGGAAACCCGGGGATCTCTGATACGTGCCCCCCCCTCCCCCGCCCGCGGACTCAGACTTCGATTAAGTGGGCCTATATTTCTTGAACTTGTTTTCGTGCATACCCTTGGAGCAGAAACCAATGCTGTTCAGGATTGGAATACGCTCTCACACACACAACTGCGCTCTCCCCATGTATGTGGGAGGTGCTGTTATCTTTTTGATCCTCCTCGAATGTATTTCCAAGCTTTCTGCTGTCTGTCTCTCTGTCGCTACGCAGCAGCTAGCTGTTGAAGAGTAGCAGTAGTTGCTCCTTCTCCCCCTCCCCTCCTTCTCACTCTCGCAGCGGGAGGGGGAAAGGGAGGGAGCTTCTGACGAGGCTGCAGACTATCATGAACATCATCTGCCCGTTGGATTACTTTTGGGGGGAAGATATCGATTTGGGTGGGTTCTTTTGTAGCATTGTGACATTCGCTTGCTCCTGGTATGGGCTAGTCTTTTGCGCATCAGAAAGAAAGAGGTGATTGTGATCATGTGTGAGTGTCGTTCCTATGAACAGCTGAGAGTAACCTCCAACACCATACCTGGAACAAGCTTCGTTTGCGCGATTAGAAACAAATCGCCTCAAGTGTTTTGCTACCGTGTGCAAATTTCCGGGGTTCGACCTATGCATTCACACCTAAAATTCCTAGGCCGTCCGTGGTCTCATCCTGACCACATGATCATGCTAACGATTCCACAAATACATGCTCTCCCCCCGATGTGACCGATATTTTGGCTGTGGCAGTTTTGGCGACATTTACCTAGGTGTTGGTCAAAATGGCGAACAGGTGGCGGTCAAGTTTGAGAAGCATAGCACAAGATGCCCGCAACTGCGACACGAGTACAAGGTCTACCGCGAGCTACAGAACTGCACTGGGTTTGGGAGGGTGAGAAATATCCGTCACGCCTCCACGCCCTTCGTCAGATCACGCTAGCACGCTTTAGAAAGTTGGGTATCAACTAGTGAGAGGCCGAATGGCCCGTGGCACTTCCGCGTTTTATACCAGAAAGAGGTAGCTTTTTTTTTCCGGGTTGCACTAATCAATCGCATACAATCGAATCCTGGGAAGCCCTTTCGACTCCACGAGAAACAGGGATACAATTCAATTTGCTCAAGAGTTTTGCTGATTTTTTTCTGCTGATTCGTTGCCATTCCTTTCGTGGGCATCTGTGATGTCTAATTCACCAAACAAACTGATCGTCCTTTCCGTTTGTTTGCATGACCCCCTGTGTTCAACACCCCAAGAGTCCACCCAAGAGAAATGATCATGTCAACCTCGAAGTATTTAGCAGCCGGATATTGCCGTGGCAAGCAACAGCGAGTTTCGTGCTCGCTTCGATTTACATGAGCAGGTGTACTACTACGGAACATACAACAGCTATAACGCGATGGTGATGGACCTGCTCGGCCCTTCTTTGGAAGACCTCTTCACCAAATGCGGTCGTAGGTTTTCGCTCAGAACCGTGCTACAGGTTGCCGACCAGCTACTGGACAGGATGGATACGATGCACTCTAGGTACGGTTTACAGTACATCACCTCTTTTGTGCTGGAAGCGAAACGTAGATCTGCCGATTCTGTGGCCGAGATCGGGGCGCTTGTCTCTTTCATTCTGGGTGGGAACGAAGAAAAGGACATGGATACTTGTCCCATCCATCTGCTACCTGTACATCGAAAGATTCGTCGAGCGCCCGTGTTCCCCCATGTATTGCTGTAGGAGACGCCGTTCCGTAGTTGAACAGCTGTGACAATAAAATGAGTAATTTCTCCTTGTCTGCCAGGCATCTTATTCACCGAGATGTGAAACCGGCGAACTTCGTGCTCGGGCCTGGTCGCGGATGCCAGACTATATTTTGCATCGATTTCGGGCTGAGCACGCGATACCGACACCCACGCACTCTGCAACATATCCCTTACAGAGACGGAAGGTCTCTCACCGGCACCCCAAGGTAATATTTACTTCGTAGACTACATGGAGATTCGCGATGAAGCTAGGGAATTGGTGTATTTTTGTTGCTGGGGGGAAGTTGGCACTCTTGAGTTGTCATGAACACAAAGCGCAAAGCAAGGAGGGCAGCCCTTCGTCCACAACAGGAGGCGATTGCGATTCCAGAGGGCAGTGTTTTTTAAATGGACGTAAGCCAGGTCTGATACAGCCACAGCACGGTGATAAGGTTGGTGGCTTGCTCATTTGACGAGCAACCGCGTCCTCGGTACACGGACAGTCTGAATGACACCCGCGTGCAATTTGTTTCTCTTCTGTGTGCTTCAAGTCATTCGCTCCAGCATCCAGCTATGTGCATTTGAAAGCGTGTATCTCCTCTCGAATATTCCGATTTGAGGTTCATCTTCCAGTGACTCGCTGCAGTGATTTGTTTCTCACCTTACCACATCGATCTCATTGACAAAGATATGCGTCCATCAACAACCACCTGGGTCTGGAGCAGAGCCGACGGGACGATCTAGAGAGTATCGGGTGAGTACATATGCTTTCGAGAAGGAGCGTTAGAGAACGCTCAAGGCGTGAAAACCTAGCGGTTGACATCTGGCGCTTGCGCATAAGACATTTTGGGTCGGTCGCATAGTAGTGAGGAGAGTTATTGTGCACAACCGAGGATGTTCTTCGCCCTTTCCTTATATTGTGTGAGATATGTTGGCTTTTCCCTCGCATGATTGTTGAACCTGTTTGTCGCCTTTGTGTAGACGTACGTGCCCATGGGAACGTCCGGATAACCTGGAGAGTCCGTTGGGATCAATTGATCCGGCCTGAAAACGGCTTTATCTGTTTCCCTGGCACGCACAACAAAGTGGCCACGTCCGTCCTCATCGCGATTGAGTGTTTGCAAAACAAAAAAACATTGTTCACTCGCGGCTCTTGATGGTGATAGACGACCTCCACATTGACCAAAATCGTGAGTTCCACTCTGACCTTGCTTCATTGCTGCTTCCTTGCGCTTCCGCACAAGCTCAATCCAATGTGCCGACGTTTCCCCCATCGCGTATGGTTTTCCCGTTCCCGATACATTTTCGGCAGGTTCGTCCTGGTTTATTTCCTGAAGGGTTCCTTACCTTGGCAGGGACTGAAGGCCCGCAACGCCAAACGAAAATACAAAATTATAATGGAGCGGAAGCAAGCCATTAGCATACAGCAACTTTGCCAGGTATAGCCCTATAGGCGGATTTCCTGCTTGCTGAGGTCTCACGAGATTGCAGGAAATGCAATCCTGATGCTCTCGTCAGCCTAGAGCCCTTTTTTTGCGGTTTCTCCACCCGCAGACCTTGCCTCGAAGCGAGACTTGCACCTGCCGATAGCCCCGTGCTGCGAGGGCCCTCCCGGCGTGCCGCGCGCTCTCGGGGCGGACTGCGTGCAGCCCTAGTGAGGGCAGAAAGTCGCGTCTCCGACATCTGCCATGGATCCACCTGTCACACCCCGATTTCTTGACAGTGCAGGCCATTCATACATTTGGCAAGCGGTTGGCGTGGATGGTGCGTGTGCGCTGGCTACACACCACACACCACCCACGACAACCAAGCCACCACGTCTCCGCATGACACGAGACAAAGTACTCTACAGCTGTAGTGCGTCTCCCTTTTGATCCCGGCGAAAGGCGGGGGGGTTAGCGGCCGGTGTCGTGCGCACAGCTGTCTGCAAAAGTATACCCGCCCGAGAAAAAATTAAAAACATGAGTTACGTTGTTGTTCCTCCGTTTCATGGAAGGAAGGTCACCTTGTGTTTTATTTATCTTTTTTTTGCGAAAGCAGCAGTTAATTGCAGAGCGGCTACAGGGACACGCTCCACATCCCAACACACACCACAGCACACGAACTTATACATCCCAAAACCCTCTGGCAGAGCATATACTGTAGCAATACTACTAGCATATACTGTAGCAATACTACTGCTGCTGCTGCTGGGTTTTTGCCATATTTTCATAAATCTTCGCCAAAGTCGCCTGATCTCTGCTTGTGCTTACATGCAACGTGCTACAATAAATGATATTTGCGTTGCTTTCCTCACCTCCCGTACTCAACCCCGATTCTGATTCTGACCACCGACGGCTGTGCATACGAAGACCACACACACCCTAGAAGCGAACTTCGTTCAGCTACAACGTCTCGCTGAGGCGGTGGGTAGCACATGGGGGAGGAGGGGGAAGAGAGAGAGAAAAAAAGCTGCTTGGTATATCTTTCTTAGTCTTATTACTCGACATCCCCCCCCCCCCCCCCGTAACCCCTCGTTTCTTACATAGAGATTATTCATTATTTATTTATTTTTATTGGGTCGCTCCTCTGTTTTATTATGGAGACGTTTCTTCTATAGTGTGGCCCAGATTGAGCTGTTATATTACTGCACCACCCTATTTTCCTCTTTTTTCGTGGAAAGTGAGCCTTTGCTTCTTATAAACAAATTTCTTACTCAGAGTAATTAACTACTCTCTTCCTCCGGCCGTCGCATAACATTTAAATGTATTCATTGATTAGTTGGTGGGTGTCTGCTCTTCGAAAAATAAAATGAGAACAAACAACTTTTTCCCTCTTCGCAACATTTTTTCTTTGTATCTCTCATTTCAAAACTCCACCCGCACACGCTTGTCATTGCCTATACAACCTACGAGCGTAGCGGCGACCGCGAAGCGGTACGCCGCGAAGAGCCCTTGTATTTAGTTCCCGCTGTATTTCTATCGCACGTTGTTAACCAGAAGTTATCAACCGTTATGCGTCGGGAATGCGCTCCCGGGTAAATTCTGTCCGTTTGCGACAACTGATTTCTTACAAAGAACCATGTTCGGACGGAAATCCTTGTCGTGGAAGCAATCCCCCGAAGTACAATACTCGCACGACAAACGATAGCATGCGGGATCTCTCAAGATTTTGATACTGCCACGGTGCCCGCTGGTCCTTGTCAAATTACATGCTGGACGTCCTCCTAACATGCGCATCACGTTGGCCACGCCGTTTCTACGTACGTCTAGCATGCTTTATCAAGCGGGTCGTATCGGGAAACGATATACATTAACCTGCTGCTTTCATTTTTTACTCGTCGAATCCCGCTCCCCAGGGTCTTCCACAGCAGTTCGCAGAGTATTTGGCTTATTGCCGATCCCTGAAGTTCGAAGCCAAGCCAAACGTGCCTTATCTCCAGGTGAGCGCTGTATTGAAAAGCTTCCGGTACGAAATAAATTATCGTTCGCACTTGTCGGCTTCGTTGTATGTTTTGCGTTGTGGCTGATCTCTGCTCCACACGGGCTTGTGTCTGATAAACAAGCCCTCTCGGGGGGGTCGCCTGTCGCATAGCCGCGGTACCGTATGCTTTGCGTGGTCGGCATCGTTTGGCCGGAATCCTCTCGACAGTACGTCGATCGGTGCTGTGGCGGTGGTGCGCAATGTTTTGGTTCGATCGCATCGACAAGCATCAACTACTGCTCAAACTTTTGCTGTGTTTTCTGCCCGAATGATAGTGAGGATGAAAAGGTATGGTACTTCATGTCAGCGGAATTCCATGCAAACACCTCCCAACCAACCAATCCTGATTTAGGTCATTCTCGGTACCGAACGGACCGAAGAGCCCGTACTCCATCCAACCTTGAAACCAGCGCCCGGAACGGAAGGTTGCTCGTTGCGTTTCCAACGGCACTCCGGTTGGGACCGTTTGGAAAGAGAGTCGGCGCGGTTAATGATCATCCCCAGCGGGCGGTGCATGTTTGATCGCGGCAAGTGTGGCGAAAGGTTCAGGCGTTCACCATGTACCTGCTTGTTATCTGTGGTAGACTAAAATCCAAGTCCTTGAGAGGAATCACGGCACGTTCATTTCTTCAAAGGAGTCAACGCAGCGATTTACCATGTGCCTTGGTGTGTCGACGTCCGCAGGGTTTACTGCGCGAGCTGTACAAGGTACAAGGACACTCGTCGTCAGGCACCCCAGAGTGGGATTGGAGTAAGTTCGAGGGCGGGTCCGGGCGTGGAGGGGTTGAAAATGTCAGCGGGGAAGCAATCGCCACCAGCGACAAGCCTTGTGAAACACAAGTACCTGGAGTGTGGCAAGCAGTTCCTGCCGAGGTTAAGGCTACCACGAAGGCAAATGTGAGATGCATACGTGTCCCCGGCATATGGCGAGACATTGAACGAGCATGTGCGCTGCTGAGCAAGTGCCTTTAGGTCTAGCTCTTTTATTTGTTTCTGCAATAAAAAGGGGGGGGAGAGAGAGTGCGGGAGAGAGAGTCAGAAGTGCAGCAAAAAAGAGACGGTGTACTTCTGTAGACGCAACAGCTATTTTCACCCATAGGCCATGAAGGCAGCCCGCGACAGGATGTTGGGCACAGGTAAAGAAGGGTTGACGCATGGTCACGGTGCGGCCGGTAGGGCAGGTTAGGTTTGTAGGCCTTTAAAAGATCAGTCAAGCAGCCTAAACTACTCTTTTTTCAGTGTATTCAAATGATCAGTGAAAATGATCAGTGACAGCGCTTGTAGACCCAAGCTGGTGTCCCCTCCCCAATTTGAGCCCTGCCGGCTCACTACAGCTCACAAGCACGCAAGCACACCAGCAACACCTACCTTTGCATCAGTGGCTCTCTAGGTTCGGGCGAGGGTATGTGTGGGGCTGTAGAGTATGTGTTACTATTGTATGTTGGACTCGTCGGCCTGGTTGGGCTTGAAATGCCCTTTTTGCTGCCCTCTGCTCTTTTCTCTGTGGCTTCCTAGATTCGGGCGAGGGCATGTATGTGGAGCTACTGATGTGGGTCTCTGTGAAAGGATATGGGGAGAGAGTCATGGCGGCATTCGCAAAAAGCGCATTGTGCATTTTTCGAATTTTGGCCGTTCCAGGGACCTTGATTTTTCCCGCCGGCACTAACGTCTTTTCGTTGGTCACCGGTTAGCGCGGTAGATGCTATTAATAACGACACACCTATCTATGGACTTGCCACCACCTGGCGTGGGGGGATACAGGGCGGCAACTCCATGGCATGCCACCGCACCAGCATTTGTAAATGATCAATCCATTTTATGTCAGGACGCCTGTAGACCAAAAAGGGTTAAGACTGTTCTTTGTCGGAACTTGTCATTGACAGCTGATACCTGTCGTCAGGAGCAAGAACGGAGATAACCATGTTGGCAACCCAGGCGTTGGCCGTGAGCACGACCGACCCGGGGCGCAACCGGTAGCGAAACGGTCGATTACTGAGGATGATAAAAAACGCAATTCGGACAGCACGAGTGACAGGTACTACATAACCCGACTTAAGTTGCCAGACTTCGCTTCATATCTGAACCACTTCACCACACCGTCATCGATCTCTGTGGGTTACGAATATTCTGAGGGCAGCTTTCGGTGCGCATGTCGTCGTGATGGTAGACCATGTAGCCGTGCTTATGAAGGTAGAGCACGAGAACACGAACTCAGAGGTTTTCACACCCAATTCAAAGTTCTGCGTGGCGCGTCCCTTTGAAGTTGCCAACTACAACCCCAGAATGGAGAAAATGACAACCAAGCGACGGAGTTCACTGGTAACAATCGGGGAAGGTGCGCGGGTGGCCGGAATGCAACTAGGCGCTCAAGAGGCCACAGCCCTGTACACGGGACAGCAGGATGGTCGATGTGGTAAGCGTCGCCATCGTAGAACCGGGACATTAGAGCCCTACGAGGCGGTCTGTTACGCTGGCTGGTGAACTCACGGCACACCCCAAGGCTTGACATATGTGATGAAACGCCTGCCAGGTACACAAAATCACACCCAGAACTCAGCCACGACCGGTAAACATGACCGGGATGTACTGCATGCAAAATCTGATATGCGTTTGCGTGGAGGGGTTGGTTCCGTCAAGATGCACGACGGCGATTAGTTTCTACCGTTGCACCGGGCATACTTCGAACTTTGCTGCTGCCGTGATATTCCATGTTTTAACCGGAAAGTTTGAGGTTGTGACATGATGCAACTTGTACAGTGGTAAACGTGGTACAGGTGATGACTGATCGTCGGATTTCACAAAAACATTGGTAAGAACCGTTGGGCAGCACACACGCGCTGCCGAAACCGCACGTGGCCCTGACGAAGTTAGGAAGAAAGAGCACGCTTCCCGCTTCATAACCGTTTCAGTATTTACTTGCGCGCTGCTCATTCGTATTGCGTGGGTGACCAACGTCTCAATGGCATGTCGGGCGTGTGCAACTAGTCCACTAGTCCAATGCTTGCGGCTTTCTGCATCGATGCGCTGGGGCTTATGCAAAACACCATGCAACAAATTACGGCTTTCCCGGCATCATACCTTTGGGCACATGCATCGCCCAATGCACTCCACCAAGACCAACGTGAAATTTTAAGGACTTCACGGCTGTTCGTAGTATGCTTGTTCTCGTTTCGCACCAACGTTTGCACTAGATCTGATAGTCGCAGTAGTTTTGTCCATAATGTGACATTTATCTTGACCCAGTAGTACCATCGTTCGCCGAAACAGCAAGTTTGTAGTGGGTATTTAAACTGATTGGCTTGCTGCTCTTGAAGCATACGAAAAATTTCAACTTGTTTTCTTTGGTACCCGGTAGGAATTTGCGACCCAAAGCCTCTGGAACATTCTGGGGAAGAGGTGTTCAAGAATCTACGCCATCAGAAGCTGGAAAAAGGGTACCAGGAGGAGGCCAAGCGCAAGTAGCGGCCACACTAGGCGTTGCCCAGGTTGCTCATGGCTCGTCTAGGAGGCCATCAGCGGGCGAAACGCCGCGAATCGAGGGTATGAGAGCGTGATGATTGTTCTTGGATACCGAAAGTTTGCCTATCAGACGTACAGGCGAAGCACGTTCCTCGGATATGATGGCGCCAACTAGGGACGGATAAGATGGCTGCGTCATGGTCGTGGGTGGGCAATAACCGGAAGGGTTTTAGGTGCGGGGGTTTTCGATAGCCCAGTACGTGCTGAATCAATCGAACCCAGTTGAAAATCACCGATGCTACGCTCAGACAAATGGATAAGGGCTTGACGGCGACGATTGGGTCTCGTACGTTTGATGCGCATCGATTGCGGTGGTCACACGAGAGGGTTCAACTCAATTTACTCTCTCTGCTTTGACAAACAACGGTGTTCCAACCGCATGGTATTGAAGCATATCTGTGTCCCTGAGGGTTGTTCGGCTTGCTTTGTACGTTGCGTCGACTGTTGCGCTGCTCCTTGCGAGGCTACATACTGTGTTCATCTTTTACAGGCTGTATTTTCTTTCAGCTGTTCCAAGCAGTACGCCGGCTTTAAATGTCGGGTTCGGGACCTGGGGTACCAATACGCCTGTTTTGCTCTACATAAGCGTCGGGACACCGCATTCAATGGACATACACTCATCCATCGAGACAAGCACACCTCCAATTTTGGTTCGGGCTTCGACAGCATGCGTCTAGGAAGGAAGGGTAGGCTTTTTCGATTCAAGGGAAAACAAACTCTTGCTTTGGTTGTCTTTGCGGTTTTCGAACAATGACACGTTTCCAGTATTTGTGAATTAAGGCAGTTCGGTCATATTTACTCTGGATCCGGCCGAATTGCTCAAGTGACAGACGTTGCGATACTGATGCAGGAGCCTGCACGGGACATGGTACTCACTGGGGCACCAATTCTGTGCCCCCTGATGTTGCCACCAAGAACGCGAGGCCGCATACGGCTCACGGCCTCAGAGAATCGGACATTACTAGGGGGCGAGGAGATGCTGCCCCGGTTGTTGCTGGCGCTCGCGGAATGATGAGGTATGTTTGCTGATTTCGATGTGACAAAACGTTGGTCAGTGGAAGATGTGAAAGTCTTTCGTGTGGTGTAGGCCTTATCCGACTAATCCTGCCAAGAACTGCATGCTTTTCAATGGCAGATACCGCAATGAACGTATCGACTCTGGCGGCAGAAGCTTGACTGGATATGCGTGCAACGGGGGAAATCCATCTTCATCAGGCCGCAATGGAGCGAATCACGCTTGGTCAGGCGGAGATGGCGGAAACCGCCGCCGCGATACCATCGATCGGGCGACCAGCATAAAATCGACCGCCGTGCGGGCCACCGAGTCAACCTGCTTACTGGGGAGGTGCGAACTGTGGACCTACTTGAGATCAGGACCTCGTCACACCCACGTGGCGTTTTTGGCAGAGAGAAAACAAGCACCTGCGTCGGGGTTGCGATCTTGGTTCCTAGAAAGCACAACTCAAACGAGCGTTCGTTGTGAAACCAACAGACGTCCAGCGCGCCCAACCAACTTTTATCAACAATATTTGGCTTTACTACCGTACTGTAAACGGAAAACACACCCACCTACGATACGACCCCCCCCCACAGAATACACCATGCTAACATATTTGGATCTCAGATGAAGAGCCCACATACCACCGGAGTCACATGAGATACAATATAACGCACCTCTGAGGTAGTCGTTGATTAGTCTGCGATTGTTGTGGTTGGTCGTCTTGCATAAAGAAAGTGATGATGGTCGATGCAGCATGCATAAGCCTTTTTTTCGGGAGGAATAGTAATTAGTGGAAGTTCTTTGCACTCTGCGACCACGCGCCCCAGAGGGCCTCGATTAAAATAGCATTTTCCAATGGAAACCAATCAAGTGTATTTCTCCCCCGCTTTCTTTGCATTTACTCTTTTGTGTAGGTGATAGTGATGGATAAAAACTTTTGATTCTATCCAAACACGGACGTATGAAAATTTTCCATTCAATTGAAACACGGTCGCTGTTGTCGAGGAGGGCGCTATTGGCGCTAATCGCGGGAGCCATATGATGAGGGGGTTCATCACCCGGTTTTGGTCTTTCCCCCCCCCCCCCCCATCCTTTCACACGACTGCAACCACGTTCGGCAGGAACTTCACTGCTGTAGGCATGGTGTCAGTGGTATTACCCAAGATGCGGTAGCTCTTTGTAGGCAGTGCCTACCACACACGGCCCCTGCAAGTGGGCGTGCGGCAGTGGTATCACACCCCCTGGTTATCACACCCACTTAATGACCCCCGAGACCACAATTTATCATCCGGTTTATTGTTTTTCCTTCGAATTGCCTTGATTAATATTTTCTGTGGCCTACGGAGGGAGACTTCCCCCGTACCACACGTCCCGCACGGCACAAAGCCTCCGCGGTATCCTAACGTGTCTCTGCTACTAAACACAAATCTCCCTCCGAATACCACCAGACGGGACGAAACTGTTGTACAGTAGCAGTCTCGGACGATTGAGCCTCCCAATGGTACGCTACCATTCAGAAAACACCCCATGCTGAGCTAACTTGCTTCTACATAGCAAAGGTGGCTCCTCCGAGTCACAGAAAATATTAAGAGGCCTCTTCAAAGTGAGCCCACACTCGTAACATCTCTCCTATCCCCCACCTTCGAAAGAAAAGGGGTGGGTGGGTGGGAGAAAAGCCACGACATGATTGCTAGCTATCGTCCAAATTTCGATGTAGCTAGCTGCTGCCCTTCTGCCGCGTGACCCAAAGCGGGCTGCATTGTCCTTCTCACAACATGGCCCTTGGGTCCAGTGGACAAGCGTCTATCAAACTCTTGCCGCAGGAGCAGCGAGGCAGCAGAATGAGAACTCCGTGAGACCTTTCTCTTTTTGGGACCCCAGAAAACCGAACCAAGACATCCGAACCAAGGCGCCTCCAGGGCGGCACAACAAGAACCCAAATACACACGTAGATCTGGGAGATGTTCCGAATTCTTCCGTGCACAATAAACTACAGTTTGTTCGGTCTTCGACAACAAACTTTCATTTTACAAACCGTAACACCCCCACACTCGGAAAACAACACCCGGTGATGTTTTTTTGAACAGCTACACGGTGTCCACGGGGTGTGTTGTCCTGGAGGTCGTACATGGCATGTAAAAGGCTACCGTTTCACATGTATTGCTATGCGGCCGTTCGAGAGGCGAAACCACGCGTACTTTGCTCAACACAATCACATCGCAAGTTGCTACTCGGGTGTGAACCGCAGCTTTTCACAGCAAATACGACACACAATGCTTCGGTTGCGATATATTTTGCTCGCTGATTCCAGCAAATGTCACACCGAGAAGACCCCCTTATTCTACACCGCTCGCCAGATTTCCGAAAACAATAATGCATCCGGTTGTGAAATCGCGGTGCCTCTTCCTCGTAACCGAAAAAACTCCAAAAGAGAAAGTGGGTACCTACGCGTGCAACGAATGTTTTTTGTGCACCTCTGGTTGGTGCAATGTTCTTCGTTGACCCCAGGTGATTTCTCCAACAGGCGTTTGAATTGCTACATCCCGCCCCAGTCGCTCCTGCACTGAATATCACTTCGCATCGGGTATTGAAGCAATTGGTACAGAACGTACAATGCCAGTCCAGTTTACACGCGGCCTTCGTCTTCTGCAGTGATGTCTTGGTGCCCATCACGTTTGAGTATTGGCTGTTGGTTGCGGTTCGGTCGTTCTAGTCAGTAATGCCATAAGAAGATTGTTGTCGCAGAAAGGTTGCGTTTCTTCCATGTATGGATACATACGCCTGACCTCTGCCACGGACGTACGCGCCGCGGACTCGAGGGTGGAAGTGCTGCTTGGAGTAGGCTCGACAGCAACGAGTGTGGCGGTGGGTGCCTGCATGGTATGAATGGCGCCAGTGGGAGCAGTCTGGCGCCAACAGCGCGACCGCATACACCTGGTACCGGCACCAGCACCAGGGAGTCACGGTAAATCCCGGAATATAGCAGGTGGTCCCATGTAGACCCGGATAGTCTAGCTCGCAGTTGGCGGACGAAGTAGGCCTGAGCTTCCAATTGCTTTTATATTCGAACGGTGTTCTCCAGGTGTACATGGACACTGGGTCTTCACCAGAATGATGGACTGTCATGAAGGATAGACATCACGCTAGGTTCGGTCACTTGCTGGTGGCGCTAAACGAGAGAAACGTATTGCAATATTTCAAGGTCTTGCTATACTGCAGTACCCAAGGGTAGCCTGTGTAACACCAACGGTAATAGGTGTTAACACCAACGGTAATAGGTGTTGTATGTTCATTGGAAACCCTTTGACTTCTACCTAGAATCTCTCTTCAACGATTTAGTGATGAAGGGCAAGTTCATGGCAAGAGGTTGATCCTTTGAGGCGTACGCTTGAAAATCGAACGCCAAAAAAGCATTCCTTGGAAATCGAAATCGGTGCAGCATATGGTAGGCCAGACAACGTCTAAACCCAACGTAACCCCATCACGAAAACGTGTAACATATGCCGTTCGAACTTTTTATGAATGCTATCGTCGCACCTGGAGATCGTCGTGTGCGTATTGGGTGATTTCTACGAAAGCTCAGTAGTTTCGACGTTGTTTGATTGCGCAATAAATAGGTCTCCGAAACGAGGTAGACCCCGTCCAAGAGGCAAAACGCATCTACCATCTACAGTGTAATCCAAAGGTCGGTAGTGGACATCGTTTCACACGTGCTTTTTCTCGTGCATGATGACTGTGTCAGGCATCAATGTGGAAGCGACGGTGTGGCGATCGAAGGCGAAATTGTGTCATTTGGAACATGTTTCTTGCCGGCATCGATTGTACTCCTGCAGTGGTGCAGTGATGCGGGACACCTCTTTAATGATACTTCGCCTCGGATCCCCACAGGTTTCGGTTTTCCTGCCGTCACCGCCTCTCAAGTTCGTTGGAAGTACATTTACAGGATTTCTTTCTAAAAGGGCTCCACACACTCCACCCCCATGCGACGTGTTCCAAGCAGTTTATCCACATCCAAGGTCACCCCAGTAAGCGTGTGACTGGCCTTGTTTTTTTGCTTTTTTTGCCCTTTTAAGTATACTAGAAATTCAGTTACGGTCGGTAGAGGTCTCACTGAACCGTACAAAAAATGTGAACGTCTGATGCCGTTCACTCCGAACCTTCGAACCACGCACTTTCTTGTGCCGAACTCCCGATCGGCCGTCCTGCGCTACGTTAATCGCCGTCAGCAAGTTTGAGCTTGATTGCTGCCTCCCGCGTCAACGTTTGCCTGTGTCGGTGATCGACCGTCTCCACCTCAAAACACGTACGTACCGTAAGTTATCCCGACACCAAATCGGTCCGCTCTCGATCAATTCGTACGTACACGTTACCTACCCGTCATCTAGTTGAAGCCCCGTCCAACCTACAACAGGATGATGGAATGGCGGAGTGTCTACCGATTTGACCTGCCAAACAGAGGTTCGGGACGCACCGCTGGCACCTTTCCCGCGGAAGTATGTTTCGCCTCATAATTGTTGTTGACTTCGTTCTCGTCGGAACACACATCAATCCATTGTAGTTTACTTGATCTCGACATATTTGCGCGTATAGCCGCCTGCATGTCATCAAATTGAAGCCCTGTCGTCCAATCTACACACAGGACTACCCATTTCGAGGCCTTGATAGCCAATGAGAGGCTCGGGGCACACCTCTGCCACGTGCCCCGCGGTAGATTATTCCGCCGCGTTTCGACGGAACCATTTTTTTGTTCTTGTTATTCGCGCGCGCATTTAGAAAGTATACATCACCTCACAGAAAGACTACCCTGTTTGTCGGTGGCGCCTTTGACGCTAACAACAGTACCAATTCATTTGTGTTGGCTGGTCGTTTCCGGTGGGGGATGTTCGGGTGTTCTTTCACCTTCTGTTTCAGAAGCTGTTCGATTTTGAGAGTCGTTCATAATCTTTGCAGCAGCTATAACATTGTTTCCACCACGGTAGCACGTAAAACAGCGAAGGATACATTCATCAGGT